GAAATAGGCGGGGCGGTGGTACCTACCCGTGCGGACTCACAAGAGGTCCTACCACCATTTTACCGTTTGCACTGATTATGTTTCGTTTTAAATATCATAAAACCGAATGATCATTGTTCTATACTCTTCGTATATACTGTGTTACTTATAATATTTTGTATTCAAGTTTAAAAATATTTGCTATGTGTATGTGCATTACTATAAATCTGATGTTGTATTTGTTATTTTAGCTGTTCTACACACACTCATCACTTTTAATTATTATTCACATAATCCTCTCGCAGGTCTGCTGGAAGAGATTTCTTACAGAAATAAGCAGTACCTTTGTATATAATTTTCTAGTACTCTGTACTGTCTTTTTTTTGTGTGTACATAAATAAATAAATATAAATAAATAAAATAGTACCTACTTAGACCATAGAATCTGAGCGTAAATAAATTTCATTGTTAAAATTTTTTATTTAAGATCCCCTGTTGAGGGGGTAATTGTTATTATCTATACTAATATATAAATCTACAGTGATTTTACGGATGTTCCGTTATAACTACTGAACCGTGCATCCGATTGACTTGAAACTTGGTATCCATGTAGAAAATACCTGTACTTAATGGATAGGCTAATATTTATATGAGTGTTGGACTTCCTAATAATAATGACAATAATAAATAATAATGTTAATAATTTTAAATGCGCAGCGAAGCGGGCGAGTACGGATAGTTTAACAATATTTCTCTTCCAGCTCCAAAAGGTATCTATTTAAGCGCTTTTAATGGCTTTTCTTAAAAGTAATAACATAAAGATAAAAATCATATCAAATATCTAAAAAATTGTTAAATGAACATGTCCTGTATGATGATTTCCTGTATCAAAATTTATCGGCAAATTTATCTTTCTTTCTGCGCGGCATAAAAAGACTGTGGCGGGCGGGTAGCCATCACAAAACACAAGATATTTGACAGATGCCTGAATCTCGCTTACGACTTTTTCACAATAAGTTTGCGTATAGAACAACAACATTCGGGCCGTCGGTCTACCCCATAGAGTAATGGTCTACCAAAAATTTCACACGCTCGGTGAAAGATCTTCTCTTCATCGTTAACTCTCAAACAGACTCTTCTAATGTAAATCCCAATTAACTTTAAAATTAACGAACGTTTCAAGACCCAAAAACCCAAAAATAATTACTCCGGTCTAATATCTTGATCGGCAGTATACTAAAAATTATATATAAAATTTGTGCTTCGACTTGTTATTATAGCGTATTTTGCTAGATCCAAAGCTATATTTACTTATTTAAACAGAAGCTTTCTCTCTGAAATTTCGAAATACCTTTAAAACACAATAGCATCAAACATCCATTTTATTGCTATTACAAAATTGATAGGCGTTTTCCCCAAAAAAAATATGCTAGTTGTTTTAAAGCTATTTATCTTTGAAATAATTGAATTACTATTATTGAATAGATAGAACAGCATTAAGAATAGCTCTATCAATATTGCTTAAGGATTTCTTAAGAATAAAACACAGATCAAATTTACAATTCAATCCAATTGTCTGGCTTCAAGCAGAACGGGTCTGTCCCGGGAGACCTCAAGGGTTGAGCCGTATTAAGCTCTGCCTAGGCGGCGACACGTCCCAGAGGACCTGTCCGCATCGTAAGAACATTCTAGACCATTAAGATTCGAGGCCACTAGGGATGTACTTGTTAGCTCGTTTGTGACCTATTTATATTTGAGCGTCTTTGAGTCGGGTTCTTTATTGAGGTAAGATTTTAGTGGCGTAAAGAAGCAGATGGACCCACAGCCCCTCACCTTGACACACAATGACAGGTGCGATTACATAACACAATCTTACCGATTTTTTCCACGACAGTAAGATGTATAATCCAAAAAAACATGACATATCTCAAGGTTAGTCGGGTGCTCTTTAAATGCAATAAAAATTCTGAAGTCGTAGTGGCCTAAAGGATAAGACGTCCGGTGCATTCGTATCGAGCGATGCACTGGTGTTCGAATCTCGCTGGCAGGTACCAATTTTTCTAATGAAATACGTACTCAACAAATGTTCACGATTGACTTCCACGGTGAAGGAATAACCGTGCAATAAAAATCAAACCCGCAAAATTATAATTTGCGTAATGGCTGGTGGTAGGACTTCTTGTGAGTCCGCACGGGTAGGTAACACCACCCTGCCTATTTCTGCCGTGAAGAAATAATGAGTTTCGATTTAAAGGGTGGGGCAGCCGTTGTAACTATACTTGAGACCTAACTTAGGTATATCTCAAGTTGGGTAGCGGATTTACGTTGTAGATGTCTGTGGGCTCCAGTAACCACTTAACACCAGGTGGGCCGTGAGCTCGTCCACCCATCTAAGCAATAAAAAAAGAACTAAAAAGCCAAATGTCGAGATTTTATCCCACTTAACTAATTCTGAAACTTGGAAGTATTAAACTAATGTAAATTTTTTATCTGACTCTCCAGATGCATACTCCCGAAAACACACAAAGACTATTACGATATTGCTTACAAAATTTTATAACATCAAGCCCCTGTGAAAGCTCTCAAAGCTTTAAGCTCGGATACATGAACTGAGAGGGCAGTTTATCCTAAAGCCAATATGTACTGTACAAACTCGTTAACTTTAGCCTTCTAAAGCTTTAAAGTTTTGATTTGGGGTCAAAACTATAATGAAATTAAAAATAACTAAATAAAATAAAATGTTTCAAAATGGGAGGACGATATAAAAGCTATAAAAGATACATGTAGCCCAAAATAGACCCAAATGGAAGGGCAAGCCCATTATAGAAATAGAATAGAAATAGAATTACCCCAATAATAGAAATGAATATAAGAATATTAATAGAATTTTTCACGATAGTAAATAGTTTTTTTTTGGGTACACTGAATATGTGAATCAATCAGTTAAATCACTGAAAATTATAAAAATCCAAATAATGTATAATCAATATTAATTGAATATTAATTTTACGTGAAACTTTACGATTCTCATCTGAAATCATAGTCGATTGGTAAGTTGAGAGTTTCACTCTACAAAGTTTTCCGAATATTTTTTTATTTATTTTTTATTGCTTAGATGGGTGGACGAGCTCACAGCTCACTTGGTGTTAAGTGGTTACTGGAGCCCGTAGACATCCACAACGTAAATGCGCCACCCACCTTGAGATATAAGTTCTAAAGTCTCAAGTATAGTTACAACGGCTGCCCCACCCTTCAAACCGAAACGCATTACTGCTTTACTTTGCTGTACTTTAACTGTAACTGTACTTTGCTGTACCTACTTTAGAAACTGTGACTTAGAACTTGTCGCAAGGTGGGTGGCGGCATTTAAGTTGATGTCTATGGGCTCTGGTGACCACTTAACACCAAATGAAGCGTGACCTCATCCAATCGTCTCAGCAATAAAAAACTAAAAATATATACGAGAACTTTTAGGATAGATGAAAATCAATTGCATCATAAGCCGTGGTATGCTTCACAGATCACAGGTATTTCAGTTAATCATACGACAGTATTATAATGTGTTTCTATCGCTCAATAGACAATAACGATAATCGCCCTTATAATTGCGAGTGAGAAAAGTTTGTTCGCACTACTGTATGCTTAGTGCGAGTTTCTTAACGTTCTCGATAGCGTAAAAGTTAATCCAATTTTGTATGCAGTTGGAACAGCGCCCCTAGCGGCAAACGTACGCAAACGATCCCATTCCATACAAATATGAGTTAACTTTTACGCTGTCGAGAACGTTAAAAATCTCACACTAAGCACACTAAACCACACAGGCATTGGAATTGATACGTAAATATGTCTGGCAGTGATTAAGGAATCAATCCTCAAGGTTAATGCTAATTTTGAACTTGTTCGTTCTATGGACGTAACCTAATCTGGTTAAATATTAATATACTAGCTTTTGCCCGCCACTCCGTCCGCGTGGAATAGTAACTTTGGCATGACGCTAAATTTTACCCCCCACTTCATTTACGTAGAAAGTGAAAATATTTTTAAATTATAGAATGTTAAAGAACTATTTAAACCCCTGTTTTGAAACATTCTTTATTGGTGTACCACTTGTAATGGCCTTACCGTGATGTTATATAGCCTATATATAGTATTCCTCAATAAATGACTTATCTAACACTGAAAGAATTTTTCAAATCGGACCAGTAGTTCCTGAGATTAGCGCGTTCAAACATACAAACTCGTCAGCTTTATAATTAAACTAGCGGCCCGCTCCGGCTCCGCTCGGGTCTTTAACAAAGATTTCAACGATATTTGACGTTGTTTTATTTTTTAAATAAAGGGACACTTATTGCGGCATAACTATACTAGTTAGACATATGCTGTCCCGACAATTTTTGTAAATAATAATGTGTTCTACGAAGTCGTAGTACATTATTTTATTCCATCATCAATAGTTTTCGCAGGACACGCGATGTAAAGAATATTTTAGGTAATAATTTTACACCTTGGGTTACATTATTGGAGTTTTAGTAAGGATCCCTAATTTTTTTTCAAAAAAGATTATAGCCTATGTCACTCTACAGCGGGGTATTCCGTAGGATAGCTCACTTTAACCGGCGCCATCTAGGCGGGCTGCCGACCGAGAGGGCTGGTGGTCGTGGCGCCGACAACCGCCGATCCAGCGTCTCGATGGGGAGGGTAATGGAAGAGATGTGCTCCGCACTAAACGCTTCACTTTCACCCCTTTGCCTTTTCATGAGTTCTGTCTCATGCGAGGTTTGGACGTTGGTTGTTGAGCGACAGGAGGTTTTAGTCAGTTCGACTCTGACATGCCCCACCCTCCATCCCCATGTCACTCGGGAATAGTGTAGCTTTCAAATAGTGAAAGAATTTTTCAAATCGGTTCAGTAGTTTCGGAGCCTATTCAATACAAACAAAGAAACAAATCTTTCCTCTTTATAATATTAGTTTAGATATTAATATTAAAATATTAAATTAAACTTTTAATAGATTAGACGAACCTGCTGGTGGTTTCCATCTTTGTTGTCGCTGCTATCGGACGCCGAAGAACCGGTGTGCTTCTTGCAGAACCCTGGACAGTGCCTTCTGCACAAACATCTGGAAGAGACAAGTAAAAGTAAATACTTCTTTATTACCATCTCGGTTCCTGTACGATGCCCAGTTCATATATCTCAAAATGTCTATACGGATGATCAGTACTCTTGGAAATGAAGTGCATAATTGACCGGTCATCGTTCTCATCGAACCCGTCGCTAGCGACGAAGGGCTCAACGAGTGAATTAACCCACAGACAAAGCCCACTGAGTTTCTCGCCGGATCTTCTCAGTAGGTCGCGTTTCCGATCCGGTGGTAGATATTTTTTTTTATTGCTTAGATGGGTGACGATCTCACAGCCCACCTGATGTTAAGTGGTTACTGGAGCCCATAGACATAGTTACAACGGCTGCCCCACCCTTCAAACCGAAACGCATTACTGCTTCACTGCAAAAATAGGCAAGGCGGTGGTACCTACCCGTCCGGACTCACAAGAGGCCTCACAAGAGTACAATTAAATATTTAAGCAATCCCAATTTCTGTTTATTATTCGTCTAGCCCTTGTGAGGTTTCTTTGTTATACAAGAATATCATAATTGTAACTTATATGAAGCGTAAAGTGAGTTGCGATGCTTTTCCTCACAAGTATCGTTTTAACATAAAATAAACTTACATTTTCACGCATCCCTTTTATCAGTTACGTAACCTATTATTGTCTGGTGTTTGTGTAAAGGCTCGAAGGGTCAGGTTATTGGAATAACAACGGTCACTTATCCCGCATATTTTACCTGTACTATCATAATATTAAATTAACTACTCCTTTAGACAGGCCGGTCTGTTTCCCTTTTTGACGTTAAAAATATGTCTCAAATGATTATGCCTATAAAGACCATTACGCCGCTGGGTCATGAAACGTATTTTCCACGAGGGGTACAAAATTTCTTTAGCAGAGATGACCTCATAGTCTGATGTTTGATATCACGCCGAAGCAGACCTTAGAACTTATATCTCAAGGTGGGTGGCGCTTTTGCGTTGTAAATCCCTAGGGGCTCCAGTAACCACTTAGCACCAGGTGGGCTGTGAGCTCGTCCACTAATCTAAGAAAAAAAAATCAAGTGTACCAGAGTGGAAAAATGAAAGAAATCGCTGAAAAAATCTTCTCGGGTTCTTCCAAAAAGTCCATTGAACTTTTAGTGACTTCTCAGCATTTTATTGAAAAAACATTACATTTAATCTCATGCAATGCGTACGGTATTGTCTTACCTTATTTAATTCTAACCACTTCATTTCATATTCGATTATTTCATTTCAATCCAATTCCATTTCCTTTTTCATACAACAGACATTACTTCGGTCTTTATAAGAAAGATTTGGCTGTATGACCTATTTTCTTTATACCTGTCGATGGACAAACCGAACAAAAAACCTTTTCATTTACTTTCATCATTGACAGAATAGATTTATTGGCGGCATATACATAATTGCATGAAATGATTAAAATCTCAAATAAATCAATTTCATCACATTTCGTTTCATATCCCATTTCATACATGTAACAGAATATGTACATACTTAATAAATACATATTTTTTTATTTAATTGGCTGTACCCGTCCGCTTGGCTGGGCATTTAAAATTAACATTATTATTTCTCACCCCCACAAAGATTCTCATCATTCACACCTCTGCAACTGGTGTAGGGAGTCCAACACTCATATAAATATTAGCCTATCCATTAAGTACATGTATTTTCTACATGGATACCAAGTTCCAAGTCAATCGGATGCATGGTTCATTAGTTATAACGGAACATCCGCAAAACCACTCTAGATTTATACATTAGTATAGAAGATTAGTATAGACTCGACACTGGCAACGCTAGAAGACAATTGCCATAATAAATAAATAAAGAAATTCTGAACACGAAACTCCTACCGATAAACATCTAATCTAGTTTCAGATCTGGTAAAGAGTTACCACAATGTGCGAGTAAGAAATAACTTCAAAACAACTCTACCAAATGTGACAGCCAAAGAGGAAGCAACGTAAACCAATTTGTAAACCAATAAAGTGCCCTATTTTTTATATCTTTGATCTGATGAGCGAATCGCGCAAATCCGATACCGAATCATATTTGTGACGCTCCAACCGTTACTGCTTTCGGAGAAGATGAACACAAATTTGAATAAATGGAAGCGGCTGGCAAGTTGTTTTAAAACATAGCTACTTGTGAGTCGAAGGTATTTTAAACATTCCGATAGAGGCACCCGTCACGTGCGGACGTGCTCATCGTCCACTCGATCGCCCGGTCTTTGTTCGCCCGGCTTTTGTTAGCCCGGCCATTGTTCGCGCGGCCTGTGTTTGTGGTACATCTGCCGACTAAGTGCTCTTTCTGGAAGTTTTTATTTGTTTTGTTTCCTTTTGTTGTTTCTGTGTTCGTGGTACATCTGCCGACAAAGTGGTTTCCTGCAAGTATTTATTTGTTTTGTTTCTTTTCGTAATTTCTGTTTTGTTGTGCTTTTTCTTTGTCCTGTAGTAATCGCGCCGCATTGCCACCTGTGTTCAATAGAACCGCTCAGGTCCGAGAAGTTGGGGCCTCGCCGCAAGGCGAGTGTTTTCAAGACCCGGGGCCGCCCCACCTGGGTACTCAGCGATCATGGACGCTGTATTCGCGGAATTCCTCCGACTNTATGCGGACCGCTTGAGGTGTGCAGCATCCCTGCTGGCATTGTTATACCAGGGTCTGCTGCGACCCCCAACGGGCACTTCAGAGGAGGGAATAAACAATTCCATCCCCTGGAGCACCACGTCTTTAAGACGGTCCGCACAGACGTCAGGATCAGCAGAGGAAAAGCAGAACCGCCCCCATGGGTAGGATGCGTAAAACTCACGCAATCCATCCCAATCTGCTGACAAATACTGCCAAACTCTTCGATACCTGGTCGTCGTTCGACGACTAGGACGAGAGAGTGGTGTGGCAGCACGGATAAGGCAGTGATCAGACGATCCAAGTGGAGCGTCGACCACCACACTGTATCCGGCTGGATCGGTGGTCAGCAGAAGGTCCAACAGATAGTGTTGTGGCTATACTGTTTTATTATAACGCGGTGCTGATTTTGGGCATTGTCCTTTCATACTCCTCCGACCGTGCAATCTATATATTAATACGTGAAGCAAAAACTTTGTATCCCTTTTTACGAAAATTGCGCGGACGGAGGAGTATGAAATTTTCCATTTTTATAGAGAATATAGAGAAGGAGTGCACAATGCTAATATTTTTTTAAAATAATGCATAAATGATACATTAAATCAATAAAGAAAACATTACACACACTACATAGGTACCATGTATTTGACGCACACACGCATGCATACTATTTATTGTTAAACTTTTGTTCTTGACGTCTGTTGTCAAATTGAGAATAGATTAAATATTGTTTGTCTTTGTTAATATTTTTTATAGTGTAGTCTTGGCGAAATTTGTGATTATAGAAGTATAAAATACAATCATAATAGTGTACAAACTTACAATTCCAATTAATTATAGTCGAATTTCGACTACTGCGGGACCTCTAGTATATAATATTTGTAACGTTTTTGAAGCGAATAGTGAGTTGCGATGCTTCTCCTCACAAGTACCGTTTTAACTAAAATAAACTTAGGTTTTCACGCATCCCTTTTATCAGTTACGTAACCTATTATTGTATGGTGTTTGTGTAACGGCCCGAAGGGTCAGGTTATTGGAATAACAACGGTCACGTATCCCGCATATTTTACCTGTATACTATCATAATATTAAATTAACTACTCCTTTACACAGGCCGGTCTGTTTCCCTTTTTGACGTTAAAAATAGGCCTCAACTGATTATGCCTATAAAGACCATTACGCCGCTGGGTCATGAAACATATTTTCCACGAGGGGTACTAAGATTTCTCTAGCAGAGGTGACCTCATAGTCTGATGTTTGATATCACGCCGGAGTAGCGTGAAGCTTTGTTCTTTTCTTTCAGAGAGCTCACGGTGAGTGTATTTTTTTTATTGCCCTTGTGGGCAGGTGAGCATACCTGATGGTGAGTGGTTACCGTCGCCCATGGACTTTAGCAATGCCAGGGGTAGAGCCAAGCCGCTGCCTACCGAAATGTGTGTGGGAGTATTGCAGTATTCTGCTATTCAGATCTTCTGGGTTGTTCTCCGAGAATTGGCGTTGTGTGAGGGTCTGACTGACCATGGCCGTAGAGGAATAAAAGTTTGAAAATAGTTACTTTTGATATGGAAGTTATTGGGGGGGATCACGAAATATCAAGTTATTATTATTATTTTATTTTGTGTATTAAGTATTTATGTTTAAACGTGTTACAATTGTGACTTATTTAAAGTTCAACATTGACCAAAATGGGAAAATGAAAGAAATCACTGAAAAAAGCTTCTCGGCTTTTTCCAAAAAGTCCATTGAACTTTAAGTGACTTCTCAGTATTTTATTGAAAAAACATTACATTTAATCTCATCCAATGCGTACAATTTTGTCTTACCTCATTTAATTCTATCCATTTCATTTCATAATCAATTAGTTCATTTCAATCCAATTCCATTCCCTTTTTCATACAACAGACATGACTTCGGTCTTTATACGAAAGATTTGGCTGTATGAACTATATTCTTTATACCTGTCGATGGACAAACCGAGCAAAAAAACCTTTTCATTTACTTTCATCAGAATATGTACATACTCAATAAATACATATTTTTTTATTTAATTGGCTGTACCCGTCCGCTTGGCTGGGCATTTAAAATTAACATTATTATTTCTCACCCCCACAAAGATTCTCATCATTCACACCTCTGCAACTGGTGTAGGGAGTCCAACACTCATATAAATATTAGCCTATCCATTAAGTACATGTGTTTCCTACATGGATACCAAGTTTCAAGTCAATCGGATGCATGGTTGAGTAGTTATAACGGAACATCCGTAAAAACCACTGTAGATTTTTATATTGGTATAGAAGATTAGTATAGACTCGACACTGGCAACGCAAAAAGACAATTGCCATAATAAATAAATA